AAGAGAAATTTACGTTGTCAAAAAAAAAAAAAAAAAAAAAAAGAGAAATTTACACATTGAGACATATTTTGACTTTCTAATTACACCAATAGACACATCTTACTTGTGACACACATTTTTCATGTGTTTTATCCCTTTTGCCCTTCTTCTAAATTAACACAATTTTTGTTTTGTTTTGATTAAAGTAAATCCATGTTAAAAAAAAAAGACTAAAGTAAACCAAATAATTCCCATCGTCTCCAATAGTTATCCTTTCTCTGTTATTCCTCTCTCCTAATCCAAATCTATCCAAATCTCATAATGACTTTCTCAGATCCGTGAACTTTAATCTGGCTTATAGTTTCAATTGAAGACAATGAAGAACTCGATCTTTCTTAACGCAAAGATTTTCGCGACTACTCTTCTTCTTCCTCGTCTCTACTCCCTCCTCCACGAATATCTACTCTGCTCCGTTTCATCCTCTCAAGCACCACATCGATCTGAATCTGAAATAAGGGGTAAATCGTGTGTTCTATTGATGAAAGCATACAAGTATTTATACAACATCGTGTCCTTATCAAGAGAGGACTACGTAAGTAGATAACTACAATATAGAAGTATATCATTATCTATATTATTCACATCATTATCTCTATACCCCCCCCTCAAGTTGGAGGTGAAAGATCTTGAATCTCCAGCTTGGACAGTAGATATGAAAATGTTGTAGTAGGTAGAGCTTTAGTAAGAATGTCTGCAGGCTGCTCAGTGGTTCGGACATGCTCAGTAGTAATCAATTTTTCTTCAATGGCATCACGAACGAAGTGACAATCCGACTCTATATGTTTTGTCCGTTCATGAAAAACTGGATTAGCTGCAATGTAGAGAGCTGCTTTGCTGTCACAAAAGAGCTTCATAGGTTGAACATGAGAGACTCCAAAAGCACTAAGTAGCTGCTTGATCCATTTGAGCTCCTTTAAAGCTGCGGCCATGGACCTATATTCGGCTTCAACCGACGATAAAGAAACCATCTTTTGTTTCTTGGTTTTCCAAGAGATGGGAGAAGAACCTAGGAGAACAATGTAAGCACTCAGAGACCGGTGTGTCAAGGGACAAGCATTCCAATCAGAGTCTCAGTAGGCGCGAACGGAGAGATCAGAATCAGCACGAAGGAGAATGCCATGATCAGGAGAGCCTTTGAGATAGCGAACCGTACGCAAAGCCGCATCCCAATGAACCTGTAATGGAGACTGCATGAACTGTGCAAGAATGTGGACAGCATAACAAATCTCTGGTCTTGTAAACGTAAGGTAGATGAGTCTCCTTATGAGACGACGATAAGCCTCTGGATCAGCAAAGTTTGGAGAGACAGCCGCCAAGGCGAGTTTGTGATTAAGCTCTATCGGTGTTGAACAAGGCTTAGAACCCAATAGCCCTGTCTCAGAAATTATATCCAAAGCATACTTTCTCTGAGAGAGAAAGATACCATCATTGTTGCGAGCAACTTCAATGCCAAGAAAGTATTTGAGTTTGCCCATATCCTTCATGTGAAAACACTTACTCAAATAATTCTTGAACTTTTGAATGGTAGAAAGATCATTACCAGCAACAATGAAATCGCCGACGTAGATCAGTATATGTAAGCTGACGTTTCCCTGGATCAGCGAGAAGTGTGAATAATCAGCCCGGCTTTGCTTAAAACCGTAAGATATCAGAGCGGTGCGGAGCTTAGCAAACCAGCAACGAGGAGACTGTTTTAGGCCGTATATAGACTTTCGTAAACGACAAACCTTTGTAGGATCGGGATGTTCATAGCCTGGAGGAAACTTCATATAAACCTCTTCTTTCAAATCTCCATGTAAAAAGGCGTTGTGAACATCCATTTGGTGGATTTCCCACTTTTTTCGCAGCAGCAATTTGAAGTAAAAGACGAACAGTAGTAGGCTTAGCAACCGGCGCAAAAGTGTCAGTGTAGTCGATGCCTTCCCATTGTCTATATCCACAAGCAACCACACGAGATTTGTGCCGAAAAATTTTCCCATTAGAGAGATACTTGTTCTTGTAAACCCATTGACAAGCGATAGCCTTCTTTCCTGGAGGAAGTGAGGTGACGTCCCAAGTGTGTTGCTGTTCAAGGGCTGTATACTCGACATCCATGGAAGCATTCCACTCGTCATCAAGAGAAGCTTCTTTATAGTTGCGAGGTTCTGTGTTTGAAAACAGAGCAGCTACAAAAGCCTTATGTCCTGCTGAGAAATTTATTCGTGAGAGATAATCAGAAATAGGATAAGGCGTTGTTCCTGAGACCGTAACAGAGGGACCCGGAGCAGATGAAGACGAAGCGAGAGGAGGGGGTGATTGAAGATTCGTAGCGTTAACCACATAGTCCTTAAGTAGCACCGATGGTTTATGTGACCGATGGCCACGACCAAGTAACTGTGGAAGACCTGGAGAAAGAGCATCAGTCTGCTCAGAAACAACAGGCGAAGGTGAGGATGGTGAGGATGCGGGAGTAGGAACAGGAGAAGGTGTAAGGTTAGGTAGGGTAGATGATGGAGTACGGTTAATGGGAGACTGTGGTTGAGTATCCGGCGTAGGTAGAGAAGGTGTAGTAGAAGGTAAGGCTATGATCGAAGATGGAGAGGGAATTGGTGACAACCAATCATCAACAGCGAGGTCAGGTTGGAACACTGGAGGTGTAACGTAGGCAGTATCTTGGAACCCAGGGAACTGATCCTCAAGAAAGACCACGTCCCGGCTTGAGAAAAACTCATTCTTCTCAATATCAAACAACTTCCAGGCTTTCTTGCCATAGGGATATCCTACAAATAGACATTTACGACTGCGATCTCCAAACTTATCTCTGTCACGCGGTCGACGATGAGCATAGCATAGGCACCCGAAGGTTCTTAGAGAGGCAAACGAAGGAGCTACTCCATGAAGAAGCTCATATGGAGTTTTCCCTTGTAGAAGTGGCGT